ATTAGTGTTTGCACAGGATAATACTTTTTATCCTTCTATTTTCAATCTATATCATTAATCACCACTTCTTGTCAGTTTGTCATACCGTTGTGACTTGCATGTTGTTATAAGGCTCAAGACTATGACCAGTATTTCAAATACCTACATGGTCACCCACAGTGTACAGGTTAGATCAGAGCTTCCAGACTAAGATAGACTTGGAAGAAGAAAGGAGCCATCCACATTTGAAAAAACTGGCCAGTGGAAACCTTTTGAATGGCAATGAAACACTGTTGAATATATTATTAGAAAACTTTATGAATAGCCCTGAAACACTGTCTGATACAGTGCTGGATGATAAGGCACTCAAAATACAACTGAGAAGAGCTGCCTCCTCAAAGTAGAGTTGACCTTAATGATGTGGATGGAGAAAAGCTTTCAGGACCTCCATTTGCTGATGGGGCATGACTCAAAATGGGAAGAAACAGCTGCAAACATCCATTAATAATCAGAACATGGAATTTACAAAGTATGAATCTAGGAAAACTGAAAGTTGTCAAAAATGAAATTGAACACATAAATATTGACATCCTAGACATTAGTTAGCTGAAATTGACTGGTTTGGGCCATTCTGAATCAAACAATCATATGGTCTATTATGCCAGGAATGACAAATTGAAGAGGAATGGTGTGGCATTCATCCTCACAGAGAATGTTTCAAGATCTATCCTAAAGTACAATATTGTCAGTAATAGGATAGTGCCTAAGGCATTTGACTGCTAACCAGAAAGCTGGCTGTTCAAACTCATCAGCCACTCCTCAGAAGGAAGGCTGGGCAATCTATTCTGTAGTGATATTGCCTCAGAAACCCAAGGAGGGGTCGCTGTGAGTCGGGTCTGACTCCATGGTACTTAACAACACAAGGAAGAACAGTTAAAACTACTACTATTCAAATTTATGCATGAACCACTAAAGCCAAAGATGAAGAAACTGAAGATTTTTAACAACTTCTGCAGTCTGAAATTCACCAAACATACAATCCAAATGTACTGATTTATTACTGGTGATTGGAATGCAAAAGTTGGACAAAAAGAAGAATCATCAATAGTTGTAAAATATAGTGTTGGTAGAAATTATGCCAGACACCATATGATAGAATTTTGCAAGACCAACGACTTATTCACTGCAAATACTTTTTTTCGGCAACATAAATGGTGGCTATACACGTGGACCTCACCGGATGGAATACACAGGAACCAGATTGACTGCATTTGTGGAAAGAGGTGATGGAGAAGCTGGATACATTCTGCCAAAATGAGGCCAGGAGATGACTGTGAAACAGACTATTTAAGTTCAAGTTGAAGCTGAAGAAAATTAAAATAACTCCATAAGAGCTGAAATATGATTTTGATTATATCTCACCTGAATTTAGAGACCATCTGAAGAACAGATCTCACACACTGACCACCAATGACTGAAACCCAGACAAATTACGGGATGGTATAGAGAACGTCATACATGAAGAAACCAAACAGTCATTAAAAAAACAAGAAAGGAAGAAAAGACCAAAACAGATGTCAGAAGAGATTCTGAAATTTGTTCTTAAAGGACAGTAGTAATAGATAAGTCCTTCACCCTCTACCCAGCCTGCCAGTTTCTGTCCTTCTCTCTCAGTACTCTCCTAGTCTCCACTCCCTAATTTCCCCTTAGACGCTTTGTGTCCCTTCCTGCGTTACAGGTGTCCCCACCCCCAAACCCCCAGTTTCCAGTGAGGTTGTCTACTTTCCCGCTTTCCCCAAACCCCAGTTTCCAGTGGGGTTGTCTACTTTCCCACCTTGAAGCTGTCCCCCAGCCCCACCCTCAGTTTCCACTTGGATCTGAGTTTCCACTTGTCTCTGTCCTGGGCTTATCTTGGCCCCACCCTCCCTTGCGTTTAGTTCCTCTTCAACAGTTAGGATTGGTTCTTTTGAAATAGGCAAATGACATCCTGCATCAAAACACTACTTATGTACCCTGCAGAGACAGGATTGGGGCTGATGCTACTCTAACCCTCAGCCCATCTGCCAGGCAGATGATTCAATAAAACTTATTTTTCTAACAATTCACCCTGGTTCTGTTCCTTTTGGCATTCAACAGCTAACAAGTAGCTAAAGCAAACAGAAAAAAAATGACAAGATAAAGAGCTGAGCAGAAGATTTCAAAGAGCAGCTCCAGAAGACAAAGTAAATTATTATAATGAAGTATACAAAGACCTGGAGTTAAAAAACCAAAGGGAAGAACATACTCGGCATTTCTCAAGCTGAAAGAACTGAGGAAAAAATTCAAGCCTCAAGCTACAATACTGAGCAAAATATTCAGTACTGAATATTACTGAGCAAAGTAGTCAATAATGCAGGAAGCATCAAAAGAAGAAGGAAGAAACACACAGAATCACTGTACAAAAAAGAATTGGTTGATGTTCATCCATTTCAGGAGGTGGCTTATGATCAAGAACCAATGGTACTAAAGGAAGAAGTCCAATCTGTCCTGAAGAAGTTGGCAAAAAACAAGTCTCCAGGATTTGATGGAATATCCATTGAGATGTTTCAACAAAGAGATGCATTGCTGGAGGAACTTGTCTATGTCAGAAAATTTAGAAACAGTGACCTGGCCAACTAAGTGTAAGGTATTGATATTTGTGCCCATTCCAAAGAAAGGTGACTCAACAGAATGTGCAAATTATTCAACAGTATCATTAATATCACACGCAAGTAAAATTTGGATGAAGATAATTAAAAATAGTTGCAGCAGTATATTGACAAGGAACATCCAGAAATTCTAGCCAGATTCAGAAGAGGGCATGGAACAAGGGATATCACTACTGATGTCAGATGGATCTTGGCTCAAAAATACCAGAAAGATACTTACCTGTGTTTTATTGCCTGGGAAAAAGCATTCAACTGTGTGGATCATAATAAGTTACAGATTACATTGAGAAGAATGGGAATTCCAGAACACATGATTGTGCTCATGAGAAACCTGTACATAAACCAGGAGGATGTCATTCAAACTGTACAAAGGGATATTGCATGGTTTAAAATTACCAAGGGTGTGAGTCAGGGTTGTATCCTTTCACCATACTTATTCAATCTATATGCTGTGCAAACAATCTGAGAAGTTGGACTATATAAAGAAGAACACAGCATCAGGATTAGAGGAAGATTCATTAACAACCTGTGATATGCAGATTACACAACCTCCCTTGCTGAAAGTGAAGACAACTTGAAGCACTTACTGATGAAGGTGAAAGACTACAGTTTGCAGTATGGGTTATACCTTAACATAAAGAAGACAAAAATCCTCACAAATGGACCAATAAGCATGATAAATGGAGAAAAGACTGAAGTTGTCAAAGATTTCATTTTACTTGAATCCACAATCAACACTCAAAGAAGCCGCAGTCAAGCAATCAGAAGTCACATTGCATGGGGCAAATCTGCTGCAAAAGATCTCTTTAAAGTGTTCAGGAGCAAAGACATCTCTTTGAAGACTAAAATGTGCTTAATCCAAGCCATGGTATTTTCAATCGTTTCATATGCATGTGAAAGCTGGACAATGAATAATGAAGACCAAAGAAAAGGTGATGCCTTTGAATTGTGGTATTGATGGAGAATACTGAAAATACCACAGACTGCCAGATGAAGGAATAAATCTGTCCTAGAGGAAGTACAGCCAGAATGAATGCTCCTTCGACTTCATCTCACCTCTTTTGGCCATGTTGTTAGAAGAGACCACTCCCTGGATAATGATTATCATGGTTGGTAAAGTACGGGGTCAGCAAAAAAGAGGAAGACCCTTGTGGTAGTTCAGTTTGTGTGTCAACTTGGCTGGGCCTGGTTGAGTGGCTGGGCAGCTGAATGTAGTATGTCCCATTATCAGACTGGTAATCAACTCCATGGTGGAATCTACTGTGAACAGCCAAGTACCTGCCTTAGGGAATGTGGTTTGCTTCCTGTATATAAGGAGAAGCCTTGGGGATAGTCTCGAGCCTATGGCATGCTTGGACCCTGTCTGTAGCCGTGTAGTTGTTCAGCAGCCTGCCATGCACTGCCCACTTTGGGACTTACAATGGACTTAAATTAATGGCCTGCCGTGTGGTTTGGTAACATTGGGGCTGTGCCTTTTTACTTGTCAACCTTGGGGCTTCTCAGCCTCAGCAGCAAGCAGCTGTCTAAGTGAAGAGATGCCTCTAGCTCCAGTGGGACAGGAGCAGGAGGCAGAGCTGGTCCCCAAGGTTGAGGGGCTTTCACCCAGCCCCTAGAGCCTGGCACTTTGAACTTGGACTTAAAGCCTCCAAACTGTAAGATAATAAATTCCTGTTTGTTAAGGCCATCCTATTTGTGGTATATTCGTATCAGAGTGGCACTAGGTAACCAGGACAACTCTCAACAAGATGGATTCACACAGCAGCTGAAACAATGAGCTCAAGTACAGCAAGGATTGTGAAGATGGTGCAAGACCAGGCAGTGTTTCATTCTGCTGTACACAGGGTTGCTATGAGTTGGAGCCAACTCTACAGCACCTAACAGCAAGAACAACAACAAATCATTATACTTATAGTGGGTTTCTTTTGGTCAGCATATAGTTGGGCCAAAATCCTTTCTGATAAATTATCTTTTAATTGATATTTTTAGACCATTTTCATTTAATTATTAATAGCCACTCCTCAGAAGGAAGGTTGGGCAATCTACTTCCATAGTGATACCGCTTTGGAAACCCAAGGAGGGGTCGCTATGAGTCAGGTCTGACTCAATAGCACACAACAACATGTTTGTATTAGTTCTGCCATTTTATTTTTTTCCTTATTCAAAAAGCAAAGTACTCTAATATTGTTTGCTCTATGTTTCATTTAAATAAATAATTTTGTTAAAAAAAAATAACTAGAATACATATCACTCAACAAAAATTCAGTGAGATAATTATCTGAAAAAGGACAGAAAGAAAGATTTTTAGAATATCCATCTATAAAAAAGGACCTTTACCTGAACCTGCAATTATCACAGCATTTTTCAGTTCCCATAATACCCAAGGAGGCCTTTCGTAATTGTTTGTCTTCAAAATGAGACAAGATGATTCTACCAAGAGAAAATTAAATAAAAGAACAAAAATGTATGTTAAATTCACTGTTGAAAACACTAAGATGAAATCATCATTAATTGCTTCACCTGGGACGTCATTATTAGGCTTCATTTTACTCATGTTCAAAGAAGATTGCATTAAAAATTTAGCACATATATAAAACTAAGAGAGTAATTTTTCAATATATACATAACTGTTTAGCAAAGCTTTTCTCTTAAAGGATCATCACCTATAAATCCACGTTATTTTCATAAAATAATACATACCGTCGCCTACACTTGCTGGAATGAAGATATTTTTCCATCTTTGCCATCATCTTTAATTTGTACAATCGAAAGTTTTCATTGCGTATCTCACTAAGGAGGTGTCTGTCAATTAAAAATAACACAGCTACATGTAATAAATGTATTGGCAACTTTGATACTTTTTTATTTCCCATAAATTATATAACCCATTCTCCCACTGAGATCAAGAATATGTCTACGATCCTATAAAGCTTGGTTGTGTCCCTTTCCAATCAATGTCCCTGTAAAAATGCTGTGGTAGGGCATCTGATCTCCTTTAACTTCACAAGGGGGAAAGAGAATCAGTATCAACCACCCAAGTCTGATTCCTATGAGAGGAAGGTCAGATATACCTCTAGTCTCTGATCTTTCTACTAATTCAAAAAAGTGGCCATCCCTCCCATGGCCTCTCTACTTCTCTGCTGAGTTGATAATTCATTGCATGGCCACACAGACCTCATTGACAATATTCACAATGATGTGATTTATTAGGGAAGTAATATGTTACAATTCAGGATCAGGAAATACTCAGGATACAGTTCTTCATCAGGACAACCTCTTCTCAGACATGCTCACAGGCAGTCCTCTTTATGTTCCTTTGCTCTTTGGCCTGACCTCTGCCCTGCTCAGGCAACTGTTATGAACTCTTTAGCTCTACCAATACCCAGGGGCACCCTACTCCACTAGTAAGCTTCAGCCCAAATGCACCTGGCTCTCTAGCTCCATTAGCTCCATGGACCCCTACCTGGAAGCACCCGCTCTGCCAGCAAACCTCCTGCCCAAAGGCACTCAGGTCTCTCACTCCATGGGTCAGCATACCCTCTGTAACCAGGAAGCCCACTGAGCTGTCTCACACTCGTCTCATGTATTTGCTGCTGTCTTTTCTGTCACCATTTCTCGCTGTCTCCTGTGTTACAGCTTTCTCTTTGCCTCCCAGGTGTAGGAGGTTCTCAGTGCAGAGATTCCCAGGTCTAAAGGACACACTCCACTCCTGTCTCTTTTTTGTGATTGTGGTACCCTTTCCATGTCTAGGGTAGCTCATTTTAACCCTAGCAGGATAGCAAAACTGACCAATCCCCATGTTAAGGTTTTATAGACCTTATTTACATGGTGTCACATCCACAAGGGTACCATGCACCTTATTTAGATTATTAGGAAGCTATCTGATGCCCTTGGTGGGCCTCATTTGGCACAGTCCTACCCAGTCATTTCATGGGAGTTACAAAGACTATGACTAGAAGAGCCATATTAAGTAACTCACTGTACTGCAGACTCCCATAGAAGGCAAGCATTTTTCTGATTTGTATGAAAATTGTTTTTGAAAACAGTCTATCCAAGCATAAATTCTTTAGCTGCCTTTGAAAAATCATTAAAAACCCCCAAAGATTTTCATTTTGATTTACATGCCATATGCTATTTGGCTTCTAGCTAGACAACTACAATATATGACTTTACCTTTGCTCCTTATGAATTTATTACTATTTTATGAGAAATTAAAAGCATCTATGTAAGGAATACTAAAAGAGGCTAATCACCAAAATATAAGCCTACATCCCTATTAGCTCTTTAAATGACTTCTCACCCTGCAATATTGTTTCTTTATAACCCTACAGAGCAATCTTGTATTAAAGACTCACAGAGAAAACACTAACAGCCCATGCAGAAACATGTATATTATGGAACACTAGTAAAATGAGAGAATTCCTTCCTTCCTTGAACAATTATAACTGCTATGTTTTGCCATAATACTTAATTAAAATTGTTAAATAACATTAAAGATATGTTTGTTTGTTTGTTTTTTAAAAAAAGTCAATGCTACTAAAATTTATCCTAACTCTGTCCATCTCTAGTTTTCTTTGAAGAAATTCCATGAATATCAGAGATCAGATGATGAGAGTCTCAAAAATGGTTTTATACATTTTTTTCAAGAAAAAAATAGAAGTTAGGTTGAATGGGTTTCAGATATTTCAAAAGAAAACAATGATTTATGTATAAAGTCTGTGTGATGAGACTGATCCTTGTCAAAACGGACCTCACTCACTAATATGATGACTACTCAACATCTGAATTGATTAAAATACCTCTATACAATGCTCTAGGATGACAATCATACTTAATCTGGGAAGTTTTAATCAACAAAAGAACTGATATTCAACAACATCATTGTCATGTAATACTACTAACCACTACTGCCTTCCATGTAATATCCCCAAATGTTTCTTCCAATTGTTAATTCAAATTCCTAAGTTAACCATCTAATCTCTTTTATATGGTCCAGATGACCTACATTTTTCTTATCACTGTCAGTAACAAACTTGAGAAAACAAAATTTCAAGTGTCTAATGGCAAATCAAAACAAAGTATTTCTTTGGCAACTATTAATACAGTAAAGTATAATATTCCATACCATAAAAACAACTAAAAAACAAGAAAAACTCTAAAAATAGTACCATTAAATAGAAATCAACTAGAACCAGAGAGAGATTTATGAAATTATTTTTCAAATTATTCTCTTAAAAAAAAAAAAGAGTACAATAACTATTGATAAGGTAACAACTGCGGGCACTTGCGCTTTGCACATAGTGTGGCTTTTGCAACAAATATAAAATTACATGTCTACACTGATGACTGAGCAACTTTATTCTTTCCATCACGGAATCCTAGTGTAGGATAGTCTGATACTTTTGTGAATTACAGTGACTTTGTTCAGCTGAGAGTCAGACACTTCACTATTTCAAAACTTTCTAGTTTCCCTAATTCTAAAAGAAGCTTGTTACCAGGATGACATAGAATTCCATCTTCAATACTTGCTCAATTCTTTGTTGTATACCAAATAACTCTATGGTCTTATTTCCCTTGGATAGATGCAAAGGGTAACTTGTCCATACTAAAAATTCCAAGTTTGGGTTTTCTGGCACCACTATTTGCTTACTAACACTAATACTTCCTGCTAAATCTTAGTGATACAACTGAAATATCTTTTGAGATCCAGAAAAACAGAAAGTGTAACTTATGGATAGAATCCCAAATGGAAGAGACGTTTAGGGATATTACAGAGGCAAAGCTGTGTCCTATTCTAATTCTTTCAGTTTATAAAAAGTTTGACATAGATACTAGTGTCATAAGAGAGGCATGGACTTGTCTACAAGAAGAGGATGGTTTTATTGATGCTATGTTAAGAAGTAAAAGCTATTGACAACTCCTAGAAAAAAGAGCTTAAATTTTACAGCAAATATTTTTGCCTAATTAATCCCCATTTGTGGTGGTTAAGTTTGTGTGTCAACCTGGCTGGGCCTGGATGAGTGGCTGGGCAGCTGGATGTAGTATTCCCCATGATGAGACTGGTAATCAACTCCATGGTGGAATCTACTGTGAGCAGCTGAATAAATACCTTAGGAATGTGGTCTGCTTCCTATATGTAAGGAGAAGCCTTGGGGATAGTCAAACATATGGCACGCTTGAACCCTGCATGTAGCCAAGTCGTTGTTCAAAAGTCTGCCATGCTCTGCCAACCTTGGGGCTTTTCAATGGCCTTGAATTAATGGTCTGCCATGTGGTTTGATAACATCAGGGCTGTGCCTTTTTACTTGTCAACCTTGGGCTTGTCAGTTTCAGCAGCCAGCAACTGTCTGAGTGAAGAAAAGCCTCCAGCTTAATTGGGCCAAGGGCAGAAAGCAGAGCTGAAGCCCACGGTTAAGGGGCTTTCACCCAGCCCCTAGAGCCTAGCACTCTGAACTCGGACTTAAACCCTCCAAACTGTGAGAGAATAAACGCCTGTTTGTTCAAGCTATCCCATTTGTGGTATATTCCTGTCAGAGTGGCACAGAGGTAACCAAAACACTATTCTTCTTTCAGATTTCATTTTAAGCATCACTTCCTCAAGGAAACCTTACCTGACCTTCTTGACTTTGTAAATACCATCAAATCATCATCATATATTCTCATCACTCATTGCAACTTTCTTTCATAGTGCTTAACACATTGTAATTTCATACATATTTACATGATCCTTTAAAATAAATGTTAGTATTGAAATTCTCAAGCACATACAAGAAAATAGAATAGTCAAATGAACACTATGTACCTATAGCTGTATGATTCTCTAAGATCTGCCATCCTAATTACACTATAAGCTCTATGAAAGCAGGTACCATGTGTGGTTTTATTCACCATTGTATCCCCATCATATAGTATAGTCCTTAGAACATTATGAGCATTAAAAAAAAAAAAAAAAAAAGCTTGAAAAATTAACAAGAACCTTCGGGGGTGGGGGGACTGTATTGGATAGCATAGATAGCACTTATAGGTGTACTGTGCAAAAAACTCATTTCGGCTGGCCCGTAGATATTACATACAGGTTTTTCCCTAAGATTTTTTATTCTTTGGATTAAGGAATCAGCTGATAAATCCTGTCCTCAAAATATTGCAAGATGAAGTTTTTCTTTCCAATATAAACATCAGGGTATTGAAGTGCCAACAAAATACTTGTTTAGTGTTTACATGGAGTGGTTTTTCAGTATTTAACTGTTAAACACAATAGTTTTTTCATTGCCAGTCAATTACTACAGTGCAATGAGATTATTCACACAGAGTCAATGAGAGCTGGCATGCTCCCATGGAACTAACCAAGAAATAAATGTAAAAGAATAGCAGTTTAATAACGACTGATAGAAGTCTTCTGGAATAAGCACCATTATGGTCTAGGAAGAAGGAACCAATAACAAAATAAACAGTATCTAAAGTAAATATGGCTGAAGCCGTATCACAACTTGCAATGATCTGAAAAGAAAAAAATAAACAAAGCATATTAATATACTGATCATTAACATATAATAGTAGGAATATATTCCATAGGATCTATGACACATGCTCAAGTATAGACCTGATTTAGTTAATTCCTCATACTAAATGGGATATGGTTGAAATTCAGACATTTTCTCTGTTTGGCAACACTTAACACAAATGTTCTTCTTATATGTCTTCTGCTTTGCTTTGGCCTTAAATGCACTTTTACAAATTACTTCAAATTTCGGATGCTGCCTCAAATACTTCCAAAACTTAAATGGAAAGAAAGAAAGAAATCTCTAAGAGTAAAACCAATAAATGCTTTTACCTATTTAAGTTAACATCTACTGGAGCCCAGAGTAGGTGACAAGAACTTTGCAGTCCATCACGGCCAGCTCTACCAATCTCCTGGTAGTATGATTCCATTTCCTTAGGAGCACCATAATGAATGACTTTGCGAATGTCAGCTTTATTAATGCCCATTCCAAAAGCTATAGTAGCTACAACACACTGAAAATACAGAGCAATAAAGTTTGACAAACATATTTAACAGAACTGAAATCTTACCTTTATACTTTGTAATAAGAACACTTTGTTCATTCCTATAAAAAGTAGCAAGTAATATGATTTCTCAAAATACCCGTGAGTATGAGAAATGTAAAAAGCTGTAAAAAAAATTATTAAATGAAATTTTTATATTATTAAAAAGTTTCAGGTATCCTTATGTGATTATACAGCGTCTTAATATTTTCTAGAATTATTCAAAGATGGATGCTTTCCATTAAGGATAAACCAAAAATAAATAAATAAATAATCCAAACTCACTGCCATTGATTTAACTTCGACTCACAGCAATCCCCAGTGGGTTTCTAAGGCAGTAAATCTTTACAGAAGTAGATGCTCCCATCTGCCTCCAGCAGAGTGGCTGGTGGATTTGAACTGCCAACCTTCTGGTTAGCAGCCAAATCCCTTAGGCAATACACCACCAGAGCTCCTTTTTCCATTAACGATAGGAGGAAAAAAAAAATGAATTTATTTCTGCATTTTTAAGAAGATAAAACTTGTAAAGTACATAATATGCATGAATATATGGAGATGAGATTCCCAAGATTAGGAGAAAATTTGAGGAAGAATTAGTGAAAAGTACAAAAGAACTAAATAAATTTTTAAAAGTAGTAACTATAGGGAATAAAAGGAGCTCTGGTAGCGTAGTGCCTAAGGCACTTGACTGCTAACCAGAAGGCCAGCGGTTCAAACCCACCAGCCACTCCTCGGAAGGAAGGTTAGGCAATCTACTTCCACAGTGACACTGCCTCGGAAACCCAAGGAGGGGTCGCTAAGCGTCGGTCTGACTCGATGGCACGCAACAACAACAACATAGGGAATAAAAAAGAGGTGAAAAAATTAATCATAATATATGACATGGCTTAGAGCATTTACAGAGAAATAATTATGCAAGTACTGTATATTAGTCTAACCAAAATTACGATATAAATATATTGGGAGGTAAGAGGATTAAAAATGCATATGTGGGGTGATGAGAAAGGCAGAAGAGATGTCAAAGAAAGTTAAACTTCATCTTCCATACAAGGAAGTCAAAGGATAATGACTAAAATGAATAAATACATATATAAAAATAAAAAGCAAGTAACTTCAGTGTAAGCAAGTTATTGTACAATTCAGTGGTAAACACCACAAGAATGAGATAAAATAGGTGGGAACAGGATATAGAAGTGGGGAAAGAATGAGGAATTTATGCCTTTCACTGTAAGTACTCTGGAGTGAGTTGGTTCTTTAAGCTATGTGCATGCATAAATGATAAAAATTAGAGTGCTATTAAAAAACTTAAGATATGTTCTAAGATGAACCAAGAGAAGCAAAAAAGTGAGGGAAAGAGGGAAGAAATAAAAAGAAAGGAAATAAGAAAGACGAAAAGGAAAGAATAACTTAAATGAACTAAGAAAAAGGGGAGAGAAAAACAAATAAACAAAGGAATGAATATAATGTTAAGAAAAAGCCCTGGGTGAATAAGGCTAGCCAACTTTGCCATACTTATGAGTGAATAAGCAATACAATAGTAATTCTATTTTTCATCTTAGGATACTCTTTTTAGGTGATCACATGATTCTCAAAAACCTTGCAATTCTTATATATAAATAAAGGTGTTTTATCAATTCATTTAGTCACAACTTCATTCCAAAGGAAAGGAATTTGAGTCATCCTGAAAAGGCACTAAGTCAGGATTAAAAGTAAGAATAAATGGTCACAGACTGAAAATACACATCTCCATCCAAATATGGTTAGATATGGTTATGAATAACAGGAAAGAAAAAAAAATGTTTTAGTTATAGAACGGAAGTAACTAAGATTCTAAGTATTTCTTAATTCTTAAGCATTCTAAACATTTCTTAGTATCTTATTAAGAGCTACAGAGGCCAGCTCAACTTCTGAGTCTGTGTATTTATGCATTCAGTAGGCACTCAATAACTGCCCAATGGCAAATAATGAACTCCAAGAATATCAGATTATTCCATATAGATGCAATTTTGACACTTTTAAATTATTTATAATTGCAAAACAGGAGTACATGGGCCCATTGCCAGGTAAAACAAAACAAATGATGCCAAGCTAGGGTGACACAATTGAGATTAAATATTAATTTTGATAATGTACATGAATATCTATGAATTTAAAGCACATACATAAGGCACTTCTAGAAATTAGGTACCATTCACAATCATTTTTAAAGCCATATCTGAAAGCATTAATCGGAAGGAAAACCAGACACATGCAACAAAGTCTCCTATCAAACATATCTGGATAAAATTTGCACTCTCTCACATCTTTGGGGGATATTTCAGTCAAAATAGATAATTAGTAATACATCAAAATAGAAGATTTCACTGGCCACTAAAGGGCTCACACATCAATTGTTAAGATTCAGTAGTAAAAGCTAATAAATTTTATCTGACAATTGACATAGTAGATTGAAAATATAAATACTCAAGAATTTAGATAAAATCTCTAATCTAGGAGGCTGGGATAGCTGTTCTTACCTTTGGATAGGAGAAGATAAGAATAGATTGTTTCAGATAAGTATGTATTACAGCATGACTATGCATAGTACACTTTATAAACAGTACATACAAACCATACATAGTTAACAGATAAGTTGTTGGCTTGGGTAATAAACAACTAATATGATAGGGAGGGCTGGAAAGGATGTCCTATGTGAACAGAAAATGCCAGAGCTGAAGTTAAGTTCATTGCAACTTGAGAGAAAATCTATTCTACTGATTCAGTGTTAGAATATGGATATAATATTGATGACATAAAGTTCCTGATTTAACCTTACTCACAAGGCTTGAGTTTAAATTTTCCTGAATATTTATACAATACTCATTGAATCAGACCAATCATAACAGAAACTTCCGTTCTAGGGCTTCACAAGAAATTCAGTACCTCAATTTTTCTCTTTCAAATCAACCCTACTTAGTGCTGTCAGTCTAATATGTCTACAACACTGTTCTCCTGCTCAAGAACAAGAGTAGTCAATCATGGTGCTTTTCAAATTCTATCTGTGGAGCCCTAGGAGTGAAAAAGGCCTCCACAGGGACCGCTTTGGAGACAGGGAGGCTCTATCTGTCTCTCATGTCTTCCTCACATCAATTTCAACCAGAATTGTTTAATTCGTTTTACCTATTAGATAAAATTTGATTTAAATAAAATATTCTAAAGTTAAAATAATCTGAAAAAACCACATGTCTATCACAAAAACTCCAGCCTACCTCTTTTCCAAAAGTTAAGGCTCTCTAAAATCTGTTTAAGGGAGCTCTGGTGGCGTAGTGCCTAAGGCATTTGACTGCCAACCAGAAGGCTGATGGTTCAAACCCATCAGCCACTCCTCGGAAGGAAAGTTGGGCAATCTACTTCCGTAGTGAGACTACCTCAGAAACCCAAGGAGAGGTCGCTGTAAGTCGGATCTGACTTGATGGCAGTGAGTTTGGTTTTTCAGTCTTTTGAATCTGTTCAAAAGAAGCTCTAGTAGTGCAGTGGGCTAAGGTATTCGATTGCTAACCAAAAGGGTGGTTGTTCGAACCTATCAGCTGCTCTGCAAGAGAAAGATAAGACAGTCTACTTTGGTAAAGATTCATAGCCTTGTGGCACCTACAGAGCAATTCTACTCTGTCCTACAGGGTCACTATGAGTCGGAATCAACTCAATGGCAGTGGATTTATAATCTGTTCAAGAATATTCATTACACAACCTTTGATATACAGATGACACTATCTTGCAAGCTGAAAGCAAAGACAACTTGAAGTACTTACTAATGAAGATCAAGGATGACAGCATGGATTATATTCAACATAAAACAAAAATCCTCACAGACCAATAAGCAACATCACAATAAACAGTTCCACAATCAACACCGATGGAAGCAGTATTCAAGAAATCTAAAGACATACCACATTTGGCAAATCTGCTGCAAAGAGCTCTTTAAAGTGTTAAAAGCAAAGATGTCACACCTTGAGGACTTAAGGTACACTGACTCAATCACCTCATATGCAAGTGAAAGCTGGGCAATGAATAAGGAAGACCTCTGAAGAACTGATGCATTTGAATTAAATTACTCTCTACCATGGAATTGGTACAGAATATTGAATATGCCATGGACTTGCTAGAAAATATCAATAAATCTGTCTTGGAAGAAGTACAACCAGAATGTTCCTTAGAAGAAAACATAGCAAGACTTGGTCTCACATATTTTGGACCTGTTACCAAGAGGGACCAATCCCTAAAGAAGAAAATCATGCTTGGTAGAAGGTCAGCAAAAAAGAGCAAGGTCCTCAATGAAATAGATTAACACAATGGCTCAAACACACCATCATGAGAATGGTGCAGGACTGAGCAGTGTTTCATTCTGTTGTACACAGGATCATTATGAGTCAGAACTGACTCAGCACTTAACAGTAGCAGCAGGAATAATAATCTGTTCAACCAACCAATTTAGTTTTCCCTATGAGTCTCTAGCAATTCCTTCCTGGCCTTAATGCACACAACATGCCACTCCTACTCACACTCTCTTTTCTTTCCAACTATTCCTAACTGCTCACAATTTCCGGAACCCAGAACATACTCTCACATTATGGTGCCTCTGCACAAGCTGGTCCTTATTCCTGGAACTCTAAACTGAATTTCTTTTTCCTCATCACTTACTGGCCTTGCATACTTGAAAAAATTTCTATTCACATGTTCAGATTCTACTCAAATTTCACCTTCCTGGAAAGTCTATCCCCATTCTAAAACATACTTTGACAAGACTACTGGTCGGTCCCCTCTCTATGCACTTCAGGCATTATGGGCAAGCTATGATTTATACTACTCTGCAACAATTTGCTCACATACCAATCTCCATATTATATATTTTCCCATGATCAAAAAAATGCTTTAGCCCGACAAAAAGAAGGTATCCAATAATGATTTGGTAAATAAATACTAAGGAAGGATTTCTTTCTACTATGAGGCATGGGCATTAATGATGATCAGTACTCATACCTGAATTTCATCTCTCCTGAACCTATGATGAATTTCTTTCCTCGATTTAATACCCATGCCTGCATGGTATGTTCCACAAGCTAACTTCAGTTTCCTAAGTTCAGCTGTAACTTTTTCCGTCATTTTTCTGGAAGGACAGTAGATGATGGTTGGACCTTCAAATTCCCAGGCAGAACTAAAGAAAAAAACAAAAGAACAAACATGCCTTTAGATCACTTTGGATTTTATCTTATTTAATTTTTCTTTTCTATTTCTAAGTAAAAACCAAAAGCTGAATGCATTTATATGTATGTATAAATATATATACATATATATATATTCGACGGCACATAACAACAACAATATATCTGTATATGTATATGTGTGTGTGTGTGTGTGTGTATTTATATATTTAACTGCATAAAAATCTAAAACTTTTATAGAGGATCAAATATGGAAATAAATTATTTTAAGCCCCAAAACCTTTTATTCCAGTTAGGTTAAAACTGAAGTTGAAATGACATACAAGTTTCTTTTAGCAGTATCCTTAATAAAAATTTATAAATTACTTATGCAAAAACTTTCAGGAATGAAAAGCACTAGGATAAGCAATTAGTCTTAATTTATATAAGAAAGAAAGAAATATTTACCAAAGAGTATGTACAAAATCTATTACAATAGTCTATTCTCTCTCATGATCAAGTGGAATTTCTCTGTTTACTAAAAAAGCCAAGGAGCTTTCCTATAAAATTGAAATGTAGTTAATAGTAATATTGACACTATGACACTTACAGAAAACAATATATTAGAATGCCCGTAGTGCAACCTGTGCTTATTTATACTTAAAAATATAAATGATGATTTTCATAGGACATTTATCTAACTGCTGAATATTTTTATTTACATAAATATCATTTACACCGATGAATTCTGGTAAGATGGAGGAACAGGCAGAAAGACTGCACAGACCCTCTTCAAAAAAGAAAAGGGGAACCAATTAACACAGATACAGAAAATAATCTTGGACCCCTGAGCCTTGAAGGGAAGGATATAGAAGTGCACTAAACTCCAACTAGTAGAAGAGCTTGTAGGAAAAGACCAAAAAAGGAGACATATGCAGCTGTGGTCTGACAGCGATACTGACGGCACAAATATCTTTGGAATTAACCTAAAGATCAGCCGTGCTACCCAGGGACTGCATGGAGCATTGCTCTGGTGTCTGGGGAATAAAATGGGAAGCAGCGAAGAAGAAGGTGGGCTGAGCTGTGGACTTTTGCCGCTCCAAAGGGCACAGCCATTTTGAATGTTTGAAAGCAATTCGACCATTTTGGATATTTAAAGTGACAGTGTTCTACCAGATTCCAGGTACTTAAGAATAGGCCCCACTTGCCAGGAACGGCAAGGAAATCCAGATGCCAATGACTGGAAAGGTGCAATATTCCCCTTGTTACTCTTACACCCCACAACCTCTTGGTGAATGGAAGTGCGGCCATCTTTCATCACACCCACCTTCTGGGCTAGCAGGAATTCCATTCCAGTCTGAGTGCTCAGACGGAGGCCGCGTGCCCTGCCCTGCCATGCCCAGATTTTTTTGTTCCTTTTTTTTCACTTTGTTCATTTTTGTCTTTTTAAAATTATTATTATTATTATTGTCCTTTTTATTATTATTCTTCATTCTCCCCTTCGCAGGTTCTAGTTTTTAGCTTTTTCTCTCTTCCCTGTTCCTAGTTCCCATTTTTTTCTTTCTCATCATTAAACCCATTTCTTGTTTTTCTTTTTGCATTTTTATCCATTGTTTTATTTCATTATTCTCCAACTCTACCTTTATTCTCTTATTGTCCTCTCCCCAGGTATTGTGGGTTTTTTTCTTTTTTGTCTTTTTTTTTTTTGGTTATTATGCCTGTGTGAATACATGGTGTGTTTTTTGTGCACTTGCTTTTACTTTTTTGAGGGTTATTCAATTGTTATCTTTGTCTAATTGAGTGAGACACAGCAACAGTGTCCATACAACACAACTACACCCACACCTCCTGCAGCTTAATTTACTGAGTGAGAGCCACCACTTCCTTCTCTACCAACAGGCCAGCAATATATTACCAGTAAGGAAACCCTGACTAACCCTTGGCTGCTCGCTCTTCACAAAAACTTCACAGGGAAACAAACACAACAACATCACAATGTCATAGAGACAAGAGAGCATTACAGTCCAAACAAAGAAACAAGATAAAGTGGCAGAAAAAAAGAGAACAGGATACAGACCCAGAACACAATGCTAAGGAAGAAGCAGCATTGGAATTCCCATATAAGGAATTCAAAACAATTATATTTAGGTATTTTCCAAGGATTGAGAGACAGAACAAGGAAAACACTGACAAAATTAAGGAAAACACAAACAAAAACCTAGAACAATTTCAAAAGAAAAAAAATGACAAAATAAAAGAAAATTTAGAAATAATACAAAATCTACAGACAGAAATTCAAAAGATTAATACTAAATTTTCAGAAATAGATAAAACATTGAAAAGGCAAAGGAGGTGAACTGAATCAATGGAAGACAGAATTAATGAGATTGCAGACAAATATCTGAATACTTCTTTGGAAAGGGATCAATCAGAGCAAAATTAAAAAAACAAAATGAAGAAAGGCTAAGGTTCATGTGGGATACCATCAAAAGGAATTACCTATGTGTCACTGAAATTCCAGAACAGGAAAAGAAAAATAAAACCACTGACAAAACTGTCCAAGATTTGTTGGAAGAAAACTTCCTAGATATGATGAAAGATGAGAATATACCCATTCAAGATGTCCAACAAACCCCAAACAGGATAGACCCCAAAAGAAAATCACCAAGACATACCATCATCAAACTCCTCAAAACCAAAGACAAAGACAGAATCCTGAAAGCAGCACAGGAAAAACAAAAAGTTACCTACAAAGGACAACCAATAAGAATAAGCTCTGATTTCTCAGCAGAAACCATGCAAGCAAGAAGGCAACAGAATGGTATATATAAAACCCTGAAAGAGAAAACTTTCCAACCAAGAATTATATACCTGGCAAAACTGTCCCTCAAATATGATGGTGAAGTTAGGAGATTTCTGAATAAGCAGAAATTAAGGGGATTTGTTAAAACCAGACCAACCTCGCAAGAGATACTAAAGGAAGTCCTTTGAAAAGAGAACCAGTAATAGCAAATAGCAACTGACCATTAATACACAAGATGACATAACCCAGAAACCACAGCTATGGACATATCCAAAGTAAAATAAGGTCACAAGATTGTACACAGACAACCAGAGATATCAATTGGCAAATGAGGACAACAACAAAGCAAAAACAGGGAAAATACTCTGTAGTTACAGAACTTCTAAATGCTGAGGAAGTAACAAAAGTTGGAAGATAGAATAGACTGAACTAAACTTTGGGAGAAAATTACAAATCACAGGGTAACCTCAAAAAAAAAATGATAAACCTTAACATCACAATAAAAAAGAGGATAAGCACAAATATTTAGCAAAAACTAAAACTAGAGCAACAAAGGAAATGATAACACGATTCATAGACATAATGAGCTCAGCACAGAAAATTATATGGAACAAAGAAACCAAGAACACCATGAAAAAAACACGTAACAAAATGACAGCAACCAATTCTTACCTGTTGATAATTACACTGAATGATAATGGATTAAATGCACCACTTAAGAGACAGTGAGTTACAGACTGGCTAAGAAAACAAAACCCATCCATATGCTGTTTATAAGAGACACACAAAAATAGACTAAAAATCAAAGGTTTGAAAAAGATATATCAAGCAAATGACAACCAAAAAAGTGCAGGAGTGGCAGTATCAATTTCTGATCAAATTGACTTTTAAGACAAAAACCACCACACGAGACAAAGAAGGACATTACATAATGATTAAAGGATCAATTGAACAAGAAGATATAACCATATCTATAAAGCCAATGAAAGAGCCCCAAAATACTTAATTCACACTTATACAAAGTTGAAAAGTCAAATAGATAATGCCACAGTTATAGTGGGAGACTTTAAAACACTGTTATCAATTAAAGATAGAACAACTGGAAAGAAACTCAACAAAGACACAGAACAGCTAAATAATACAATCCACCAACTTGACCTTACAGACATCTACTGAGCACTTCACCCAACAATAGCACAATGTACATACTTTTCCAGTGCAGATGGAACATTCTCCATGAAAGACCATATGTCAGGCCATAAAGCAGGCCTCAATAAATTTAAAAACATTGAAATACTGCAAAGCATCTTCTCAGATTACAATGCTATCAAATTAGAAATTGACAATAGGAAGATCAATGGAAAAACAACAAACACATGGAAACTGAACAACGCCCTCCTTGAGAAAGAGTGGGTAAGAGAAGAAATAAAAATTGAAATTCAAAAATCCCTTGAGTCAAAAGAGAATGAAAACACAACATACCAAAATCTTTGGGACACAGCAAAAGCAGGGATCACAGGACAATATATAGCAATAAATGCACACATCAAAAAAGAAGAGCCAAAATAAACATTTTAAAACAACATCTCCACCAACTAGAAAAAAGAACAAGAAGAAAAGCCTACAATCACCAAAAGAAATAATAAATATTTGAGCGGAAATCAATGAAACAAAAGAGAAAGACAATAGAAGGAAATCAACAAGACTACAAGTTGTTTTTTTGGACGGCTGGCAAGATGGCGGACTAGGCAAAAAGACTGCACAGACCCTCTTCAACAAAGAAAAGGGAAACCAATTAACACAGACACAGAAGTAATCCTGGACCCCCAAGCCTTGAAGGGAAGGGTACAAAAGTAGACTAAACCCCAACTAGCAGAATAATTTTAATGAAAATAGGAAAAAGGAGACAGACGGAGCTGCAGTCTGGCAGCGATCCTGACGGAACAGACAGCTTGGAGATCACAGAGTGGTGGGAGGACCTAAGAATTAACCTAAAAATCACCCTGCTAGATAGGGACTGCATGGAGGACTGTGCACAGGGGCTGGGGAACAAACAGAGAAGGGGAAGAGAAAGGTGGCCTGAGCTGTGGACTTTTGCCGATCCGGAGGACGCCACCATTGTGAAGGTTTAAAAACCGGCTTGACTATTTTGGATATTTAAAGAGACAGCACTCTCGCAGTTTCCTGGGGCTTAAGAACAAGTTCTGCTCT